ATAGCTCTCATCTGCAACCCTAACGGGGTTATATACATGATAGAGAGCGTAAAGTTACAACGTCGCTACTTCAGCCTACAACTAATGTTACCAGTAGTTTGCACCGCAAATTATTATTTCAAGACTAGTCAAAATTCTACTAAATCTCATTAGCATTAAAATTGTTGACCATATGGCAGATTTATAATAACTAGGTTTTCCAATTATTAGTTGATACCGGCTAAATATTTGAGTAACCTTGCGTCAGCCTCGAGTCGTGGAAAGAACTCTTTGTCCAGGATAGACTGCATTTTCAACCCCCAAAAATACCATACCCAAAAGCAGTGCATGATAATTTACACACCACCTTTGTCTTCATTCCTTCCAATACTGCATGAATTTATTTAGCATTAGTTCAGAATGATAAAGTAAACTACGATCACATTAAATAACCTAGTGTGACCTAAGTTCACTTTCATGATCTACTCATTATTTTTTTAGTACAATCATAAGTTGTACTATTGATAATGTATGAAGACTTTTACATTTAAGTCTAATTTTTAAATATACAATTTACATATATAATTATATTATGAAACGAAATTCAGATTATAATATAAAATGTTGATAAACATTAAGTTATATGTATCACCTTTATTTATATGCAAAGGTTGAAATCATAGATTGCCATATTTTGTGTTCTAAATCGCTATTCAATACTGTCAGTCTCGGAAATTCTGCAGATCTATTATGATTTTATAAATGATTCTATGAGATGATTAGAATTTTATTCAAAAATAGCTCATCTCGAATTAATATAGGATAAAGTTTTATAATACACTAAGTTAACTAGCTTTGTTATCTAAGGTGTTACAGTTTAGCACAATAGAGAAAGAGAATGTATTAGATAATTAAAATATTTACATGAATTTAGATGCATATTTCCTTAGGGCAATACACCGTTACATGGAATCCTAATTAACTTATAATGGCCCTGGTTGCGTTAAAGTCAAAATTTGATTTTGGTTTGGCTACGGTGTCTATAACTTCATCAACACCCTTCCACGATTAAAAAAAAAATTTTTTTACACAAGCATATGACACTTGTCTATACCTTCTCTAATATTTGGTCTTCTTATTATATCCACATTCAAATCTTGACAAACCCTGGCACATATTTAAGCATTAAACTTATATTATCTATCTACATAACAAATTCTCTCAAAAAACCGATCTAAACACTGGTACAAATCACGTTACACAAAAAAGATATTTGATCAGTTCCTGTTTGTTTTTTCATATTTGATAGCCCAAAATTGGGAGGGCTTTTATTAGACAATTCGCTTGCATCTTTCCGAGAAGAAAATACAGTTTTAAACCAATATAAGCTATTAAATTATATAGGTATTAAAATAAGTAGGTTTTGATATAATAGTTTTTTGGTAAAGGATAGATTTGTCGATGTTTGCGTCTATGTGACATGTATTGAACCTGTGATAGGTACACGAGCTTTTCATTTTGTACAGGTTTTCACAACCAGATTTTGACACTGCTATAATAAAAATGCAAACATTTTATAGTAAATATACTATTTGAACATGCTGAAAAACTGAGAAATGATAGGAATGAAAAAGATCAATGTATGTTGACAGAATATCTGCATATGTATATGGGTAAGATTAGTGGCGGAAAGTAGTGTTAAATATTAGCATTGGCTTATATTTACTAGGGATTGCTTGCCAAGGCTTTGATAAAATTTAATTTTCTCTTCTTAAATAAAGTTTCTTGAGTTTTCTGCTTCCTTGAATTGCCCGATATTGGAATATTTTTAAATGCTATCAAAACTTTCCAAATTTGTATAGGATAGCTTCGTGTGAGAAGGCTTCAATAAAGGGACTCATTGGATCTCGATTGAGCTGAAGTCTTAACACTAAACACTTTTAGCAAGTTCAAATCTTTCTGGCTCGAACAATTGGTATTTTCTTTATAACTTCGTCTATTGATTTGCAAGCTATTTCTTGAAATCTTTCTTTTATCTTGGACGACCTCTAAATAATGCTTTTTTGACTTAGCTTCATCCATTCTTTCTTTAATGCGTCTATTTGCTATGTCTAGGTCTCGAATTTCCTTTTCCAAAAAAAGTCCCTTCTTTCGATCATCATCAGATATATCAGTTAATTTTTCCCCCTTATTTGTTATTAATATTGATTGTCTTCCTTTCTCCTTATTTTCCTTTATCCCTTCATTCTTTTCCTTATCACCAGTTAAAATACTTTTATTATCTTGCGTCTTCTTTGCTAGCCAGCTCTGTTTTTCGCTAACTAACAAAGCAAGCGAATCACCTTCTTTTTGCTTAGCTCTTGTAAATGTTTCAGCTTCACCAGACATCTCAACGGTAGGTAACTGTATTTCAAGCAAGTTGTTTTTTCTTTTTTCTTCTTGTTCTACTTCTCTTTTAGAGGCTAAGAATTTGAAGCTGTGTTTGCGCATCACCATGCTTAATGGTTGAAGTCTGATTTGAGATATTTTGTTATTCGGTTCTATGGAATCATTTTTTTGTTGTTCCAAGTTACTCAAACTTTCCTCATCACTATGTCCCTGACGGGATGCTGCTTTCCTTAGCAATTTGGCCACACCTCCGAGACCATTCCTGCATTGGATACTGCGTTTTGGTCTAGAAGCTAATTTGTGAGGTATACTCAGGTTACCTCCACGCAGCAAGCCTCTGTCTATGCCATCGGTGCGGTCAGTCACCCGTTCTTTTTCGATCTCCAAAGTTTCCTGTTCCATGATAAGTCCCGCAGCCTCTACTTCTAAGCTATCTCGACGTAGATGCTTTTGTGGGGCTGCACGCCAAAATCGCTTGCGGCCATTATTGGCCGAGGTCCTTTTTAATCGCAAGCGTTGTCGCATCTGCCCTGTTATGCTGAGGCCCTCTCCGCTTGGCTGACTAGACCAAAGTGAGCTGAGTGACCCACCACCAGCATAGTCCCCTTTATCGCCACTGCAACGGTTACCATTCCCAGCCGCATCATCAGAATTATTTATTTCTGAACTTGACTCATCAGTTTCTCCTGGACTCTGCACAGAGCTTACAATTTCTTTAACAAGGCTGAGGTCCTCTTTTAAATCCTCACGATTGCTTACGATCGCAGGATTTTGCCCAATTTTACTGAGTCGTTCAGCAGCTACAGATTCCATAGTGCGTCGCATCAGCGGGTAATTGTCCAGTACTGCAAGGAAACTCTCACGGTCAAGACTATAAAGGTTGGAATACACCTCAGCCCTGACACTGGCAACACGCCGGGCGTTTGTCAATAGACATATTTCTAAAATATATGTAAAAAGTTAAAGTTTATGTTTTAGAGCACAGTGCGTGCTAAAGAAAGCAAAGCTATTGAAGATTTGTTGACTATCGCTGTGCAACTCAATTAGTTCATCTGGTGTAAACTTTTATTTTCACTATAACAGCATTCCATTAATTAATATCCTATCATTTAATATTTATTCTTCGAATACTTGCATTATTTTAAAGGATGATGCGGCAATGCTGTTATCAGCTGCTTAGTGACCTATAAATAAAACTTTAAATCGTGTCACTAAGATAGTGTAGATACAAGAGAAAGTTGGTTTTGATGAATCTCCTAAGATAACATTGTTAAAGGGACCTTCATTTCGAATGAAATTGCATGAAGAATAGATTTGTTAGTCGATCTCACCAGATGAGGACGGATGAAATTCGTTGTACTGCAGCCGTTTGGCTTTTATACGACGCAGTCCACGAGACTTCCTTCCTCGTTTTGGATGAAAACGTGCTGAGCTTTCGTCCATCTGATGATGAAGATCATTAAAGCAGGGTATCATTCTTGTAGACTTCTCTCATTAACACTAAAGCAAGAACACTATCCGGCTCTATCTTAATTCTTGTATAAACTCTATCAAGCCGAAAAATTAAAATTAAAAAAAACCTAGATAGATCGATGTAGAGTGGTTTGGTTAATTTTCTTTCATACAGGTCCTGTTATTTTTTCTCGGTTGTATGAGTATGTATATTTGTGCGTGTTAGCGTCTATATGCAATACTGTTTCTAAATCGGAATTGTGAAAGGTTAAATCTCCGGTTGTGATCCTCAAGACATAATAACCCAAGAGAAAATCTTTGACCAAGACTGCCAAGGTCCGTAAATAAGTATGGTTAATATAATGAAATATGGACGAAAGCTCACGACGTTTTCACCCGAAACGAGAGAGGAAGTCTCGTGGACTGCGTTAACATGAACATCGTATAAAAGCCAAACCACTGTAGTACAGAGAGTTTAATCCGTCCTCATCTGGTGAGATCGACTAGCGAATCTCTTATTTATGCACTTTCATTCTAAATACAGTTCCCTCTAATAAGATAGTGTATACTTCTAAATAGACAATCCATATATGGACACACCAAACTTTTCTATCTTATTTCAACATGGCTAATTTTAAATAGTTGACAATGACGACTATCCTGCATAATTGCATAATTTATAGACTTCATTACTCCAATAATTTTAGCATTTAGTTAGAGCAAATACTTAAGTTTACTCAATATAAGTCTGTACTGTGAATATGATATATTCTGCTTTATGGACGACAAGATAATATTATAATAAGGATAGTACTAATCCGATATAAATATTATCACGAAGTGGATTAAATGTTATTTTGAGACGTATTCACCCTATTTTATTTAAGGTGATGAAGGACTGGTAGAAGAATTTGCCCACAATGATATGAGTATTGCTGGCGTTTCAATTGCATTTCACATAGCCTTATTTTCCCAAAGGTTTTCCCCATCTAGGGTGGACTACAGTTTCGACCTCGCATCGGTCATATCAACACCCACAGCGCGAGTCGAATCAGGAAAGTGCGACAGATGCGAGGTTGAAACTGCAGTCCATCCTAAATGATAAGAACTGTTCGGAATCCAGGCTATGTGAAATTCAATAGAAAAGTCAGCCCTACTCTTATCATTGCGGGAAAAATATACTACCAATCCTTCATCACCTTAAACGAAATAGTGTGAATACATCTCATATTGCTGATTTACTGGTAGTCTTTAAACTCA